TGTCATTACATTAGAATTAAGTCAAAAACACGAATAGGGCCAGGATAGGCGGGACCTGGACCGGTTTTGTTAATGCAATCTTGAATTATTATTGGTTCTTTCGGTAAAGTCACGTAGAAGGGAAACAATAAATTAATACAAATATAATATATGTTTTATATATTTACTATTTATTATTATTTTATTGGTTCTTTCGGTAAAGTCACGTAGAAGGGAAACAATAAAATAATAAAAATATAATATATAATACATATATTATATTTTTATTATTTTATATTTTTTATTTTAATATAATATATGTATTATATATTATATTTTTATTATTTTATTGTTTCCCTTCTACGTGACTTTACCGAGAGAACCAATAAAATAATAATAAATTTATTTTATTTTAATTATTTTATTGTTTCCCTTCTACGTGACTTTACCGAAAGAACCAAGAATATGAATCCCTGCAGTCACGAAAGCTTTTAATCAAAATTCACTCTTGAATTGTTCACGTGACATGGTCTGTTTAGAACATGTCAGCTCGTTAGGCTTCGTGGATCCCAAGATATTACGTATCCAATGTTTGAAATAATATAAGCAGACACCAGGGCAAGTTCAATAAAAGTGTATAATAATAAGAATAGAAACTTGACATTATTTTTTTTACTTCCGATTTCATTATTTTAACACACAGAAAGGATTGTTGCGCGAAATTTTTACTTCATTGTTACAATCATCGGTTATGTCACGTCGAAGGAACACATTACATCGGGAGCATCTGTTAACGCGTGGTGTGCACCGCAAGGCTTCACTGGATCCTAACTCTGCGGTATTTACTATTCCAGCTATAATGTTGTCCATTCCCGTACCTCCAATCAGCACGATTAGCTGCATGCGGTGTGAAAGAAGTTCAACATACACACACACACGTGCACTACAGTCAGAGGGCAGCTGCTGTTATTGCAGCAACATTGGATACCGGTGAGACACTTTTGTTAAGCCGTGCTCCACTTTAGAGAGCGTTTTAAATTGATGGACGTTGCTCCAGCAATAAACTTCTGATTCTGATGTGTACATGTGTGTGTATGCCTTGTGTGGACCTTCTGATTTTCTTACACTTATCTTCCGTTTCACCCCCTCCCCCCCCCTGACGGAAACTTATCAATCTTTCTCCCGCTCAAGCTTGCCATTAAATTAAATGCTATCAACGAATATAATAAACCTCGGACGCGATTCTGGTGGAAATCATCTCATTTTCGGAAGATATACAGGCTAAATGCAGTTTCAGCGATTTCATTTAAAAAGGGAAGGTACAATCAACATTGAAACATTAAAATAAATGCTTGTGTATCTATATATGCAAAATAAAACTTTCCCAACATTTTTGGTTATTTGCGTTCCTTTGTTGTATTATTCAACAATGCATTGCATGGTTTCGTGTACGTGTGTGCACAAAAGATATTGAATCCTGGAAAAGGCCGGGTGAGGTCTGACCGAGCATGGATCAAGCATGGATCGAGCATGGATTGAGCACGGATCGAAGATGGATCGAGCACGGATTGAGCACGGATCAAAGATGGATCGAGCACGGATTGAGCATGGATCGAAGATGGATCGAGCACGGATCTAGCATGGATCGAGCACGGATTGAGCACGGATCGAAGATGGATCGAGCACGGATCAAGTGTAGATTAAGCTGTGATATTTTGAATATACAGCACTCAGTACTGCCCATAGACTCAGCACTGCACCATAGACTCACCACAGCCCATATACTCAACATTGCCCATATACTCAGCACTGCACTATAGACTCAGCACTGCCCATAGACTCAACACTGCACCATAGACTCAGCACTGTCCATATACTCAACATTGCCCATATACTCAGCACTGCACTATAGACTCAGCACTGCCCATAGACTCAACACTGCCCATATACTCAACATTGCCCATATACTCAACACTGCACCTAGACTCAACACTGCACTATAGACTCAGCACTGCACCATAGACTCAGCACTGCCCATATACTCAACATTGCCCATATACTCAGCACTGCACTATAGACTCAGCACTGCCCATAGACTCAACACTGCCATAGACTCAGCATTGCACCATAGACTCAGCACTGCACCATAGACTCAGCATTGCCCATTGACTCAGCACTGCCCATAGACTCAACACTGCCCATCGACTCAACACTGCTCATAGACTCAGTACTGCCCATAGACTCAGCACTGCACCATAGACTCAACACTTCCCAAAGACTCAGCATTGCACCATAGACTCAGCACTGCCAATAGACTCAACACTAACCATAGACTCAACACTGCCCATAGACTCAACACTGCACCATAGACTCAACACTGCCCATAGATTCAGAACTGCCAATAGACTCAACACTGCACCATAGACTCAGCACTTCCCATAGACTCAGCACTACACCATAGACTCAGCACTACACCATAGACTCAGCATTTCCCATAGACTCAACACTGCACCATAGACTCAGCACTGCACCACAGACAACCCCACCGTGCATTGTCTGTGTGTGTGTGGGGAGCGGTGGCGCAGTGGTTAGCGCGACGCTGCACTACAAACCCAGCGACCCGAGTTCGATTACCGCTCAAGGCCATCAACACCAGTGACGATTATCTGTACCGGCCATGGGCCTCAGATGAGTGCCTGGTGTAGCGGTGTGTAGTAGTGAACGTCGCCACTGGGGAGACAAAGGCGGCCGGGCGTGGTGCTGGTAGCCACCCAACCCCCTCGTGTGCCACAGTGCCGGTGGCCTTTACAGCACTTGCCCCTACAGCCTGTTAGAGGCTATACGGGGGACCTTTGTCTGTGTCTACCTTCACAGGTGCTGCTGCTACTCGCTACTCACAGCACTTGCCCCTACAGTCTGTTAGAGGCTACACGGGGGACCTTTGTCTGTGTCTACCTTCACAGGTGCTGCTGCTACTCGCTACTCACAGCACTTGCCCCTACAGCCTGTTAAGAGGCTACACGGGGGACCTCTGTCCTGGCCACCCCAACAAAAACCAGAAATGCACAATCAGGCGACGTTTCGGGCAATGGCCCTACCCTTCCTCACGGCACGTCGTGTTATACTCTCCGTGCGTGCGTAGTGAGGCTGTGAATAAAATCCATGAATTATTTGTTAATGTGGCCTAAGGCAGTAGAGCCCCGATACGGTTGTTCAGGAACTGCTGGTGGCTTTTGCCATTGGCACTCCCCTCCCTACTTAGTAGCACTTAAAAAAAAAACTCACATGCCATGAAGAAGAGCTATTGCCCGGAACGTCGCCTATTATATTTTTGTGTCCCCCTGTGAAGGCCAGACAAAGATAACGGTGCCCCGTATAGCCTTAGCAGTCTGTTGGGGGCAAGTGCTGTTCGCGAGTCGCAAGCAGCAGCAGCAGCAGCAGCTACTTAAGGCCGGAATGGAATACACGTGGGAGTGTGGTCAGCACCACGCACGCCCCGGGCCGCCTTTGTCTCCCCAGTGGCGATGTTCACTGCACACCGCTACACCAAGGTTACTCATTTGAGGCTGAGTCGACCTAGGGGAGGCCCAGGACCCATAGCGGTGAACCCATCCGGTTTTACCCCGAATTCTCGCCCGGAGGAAATCAAGCTGTTGTCGATTTGTGTTTCTCTCACTTGCGATGGGGACTTTGTGGGATGAACAAGGGACACCACGGGGTTGACCAATGTGGTGTCTGGATCGGTCTGTTACAAAGCGGGGGCACTGGACCGGTTCAGATAATCGTCACCGGTTGTTGTTGCTGTTGTTGTTGCTGTTGTTGTTGGTGGTGACGGTGGTGGCGGTGGTGGCCGCGGTGGTGGCCGCGTTGCGCAGCAGGGCGCTCACCCCTGAAGCACACAGCAAGCACACGTGGTGGTGGTGGTGCTGCTGTTGTTGACAAGGGAGAGTTGTTGTTGTTGTTGTTGACAAGGGAGAGTTGTTGTACACCCCTGAAGCACACAGCATACACACGTGGTGGTGGTGTTGTTGTTGTTGACAAGGGAGAGTTGTTGTTGTTGTAGTAAAGTGTTGACTAAGAAGAGCAGGCAGGGCGCTCCGGTCGCTGTGAATCCACGTGCACGTCTCTGTCTCCACGTGTCCCCGTGTCCCCGTGTCTCTGTCTCCTCATGTCACCGTGTCTCTGTCTCCCCGTATCCCTGTCTCGCCGTGTGTCTCAGTGTCTCTGTCTCCCCGCATCTCGCAGTGTCTCTGTCTCCCCGTGTCCCCGTGTCTCTGTCTCCCCGTGTCTCTGTCTCCCCGTGTCCACAAGTCCCCGTGTCCACAAGTCCCCATGTCTCTGTCTCCCAGTGTGTCTCTGTCTCCCCGTGTCCCCGTGTCTCTGTCTCCCCGTGTCCACAAGTCCCCGTGTCTCTGTCTCCCCGCATCTCGCAGTGTCCCTGTCTCCACGTGTCTCCCTGTGTCTCTGTCTCCACGTGTCTCCCCGTGTCTCCCCGTGTCTCCCTCTGTCTCTGTCTGCCCGTGTCCTCTCGTACATCCCCGTGTCTCCGCGTGTGTCTCAGTATCTCTGTCTCCCCGTGTCTCCCTGTGTCTCCCTGTGTCTCTGTCTCCTCGTGACTCCCCGTGTCTCCCCATGTTCATATCTCCCCCGTGTCTCTGTCTCCCCGCATCTTGCAGTGTCCCTGTCTCCACGTGTGTCTCAGTATCTCTGTCTCCCCGCATCTCGCAGTGGCCCTGTCTCCACGTGTCTCCCTGTGTCTCTGTCTCCCCGTGTCTCCCCGTGTCTCCAAAGTGTCTCCCTGCGTACGCCGGTATATCTCCGTGTCTCCCGGTGCGGGCTACGTGTTACCCTGCGTCTCCCCGTGTCTCTTCCTCTCCCCCTGTGTCCCCGTGTGTCTCCCGCTTGTCTCCCGTGTGTCTCCCGTGTGTCCCCCCCGTGTGTCTCCCCCCGTGTGTCTCCCCCCGTGTCTCCCCCACGTGTCTCCCGTGTGTCTCCCCCCCCGTGTGTCTCCCCCCGTGTCTCCCCCGTGTGTCTCCCCCCGTGTCTCCCCGCCGCTTCAGAGGCGGAGAGCGCTCGCACAGAGCAGCGACCCCGAGGCTGTCAGCCAGGTCAGGGAGGCGCCGCTCTGGATGGAGAGTCCTGGGTCATGGGGCACACACAGACACACACGCATACATACACACATAGACACACACAGATAGACATACATTCACATAGACACACACACAGACTCACACACACAGACACACACACAGACAGACACAGGCACACACACACATACAGACACAGGCACACACACTCACACACACACATACACACACAGAGACACACATTCACAGACAACACAACAACAACAACCGCCATTCGCCACTAGGTGGCGGTGACGTCACCACGACGCTTGTGCCAGGCTATGTGCACCCTGAGGCCACGTGAAGTGTCGAACGCCCGCTGGCAGGAGGTCACGGGGCAGACCCAGGTGCCACGGGTCGACTGACTGAGATGACTGGCTGATGCACCACCTGTGCCCCCTACTGTGCCAACCTGCTGTGCTTTAGCCACCCGGCGCTCCGCTCGCTGTTGTGAGCGTCGCTCCTCCGCCCTCCGTTGTTGTTGGAGGGCGACTGCCTCCAACTGCCCAGTAGCATCCTTCACGAGCCTCCTCCACAGAGGCCGATCTTGACACCGCTGGTACCAGTCATCGGCAAGTCCACTCAGCTCCACGTCCTCCTGTACCACATCACTCCATCTCTTCTCTAGCCCGTGCCGCGCCCGCTTAGCCCCCTCAATCCGGCCAAACAAAAGCTGTTTCGGCATGCGGTGGCTGGGCATGCGGGCTACATGACCCAGCCATCGCAGCCTTGCCTGCCGGAGGAGCTCACCGATGGGACCCTGCCCAGATCTTTCAAGGATTTGTGAGCTCCTCACACAATCCAGTCTGGTTAAACCCAGGATGGATCGTAGGCAGGTCAGCCTAAATGTTTCTAACCGGCGAAGATGTTCCATTAGGGGGGTCCACGTTTCGCAAGCGTAGAGAAGGGAGGGAATGACCGTGGCCGAGAAGACCTGAAGCTTAGTGCGGAGCGACAGACCAGGTAGCTTCCACACAGCGTTACGCAACCGATGAAAAGATATTGCCGCTCGACTGATTCGGAGTGAGACCTCTGCTGTTAAACTGGAGCCAGTCATAAGCACACTGCCCAGGTATGGGAAACTCTCCACTCTCTCCACAACTGCCCCATCACCGATTGGGAGTTGTGGGGGTGGAGTGTCCGATGGTACAAAATACCCAGGCAGGTGCTTAGTTTTGGTGGGGCTGATGGTAAGGCCCCACCTCTTAGTGGCACGCTCCAGTCTCAGCAGCAGCGTCTCCAACTCCTCCTCTGACTGAGCAGCTATTACCAAGTCATCAGCATACATAACGTGGTTGAGCAATAGGGAGCCATCCCTTGACCGCACCCGGGCATCGATTAGCCTCCCATTATATCTGTACCATATGGAGATTCCCCCGGTACAGCTATTGAAGGCTTCACGAACTACGTGGTCAAAATAGATGTTAAATAATGTGGGAGCCAGAGGACATCCCTGTCGCACCCCAAGGTGTACAGGGAATGGCTCTGACTCCCGGCCACGTAGTTTTACCCGGGCCCGCTCACCATCATGAAGGTCCTTAATGATCGTGAGCAGAGGGTCAGGTACTCCAAAAGCACGAAGAACGACCCAGAGCCCAGGCCTACTGATGGTATCATAGGCCTTGACCAGGTCAATAAAGCAGAGATGTAGGTCTTGTTGGAATTCCCTACACCTCTGCTGTAGCAGACGGACAGAAAATATGGCATCTGTGCAGGACCGCCCTTTCCTGAAACCGCATTGGGGCTCCGCAAGCCTCTCCTCAGCGTGCCTGGCAAGGCGATGCTGAATAATCCTTGCCAGGACCTTTCCCGGCACACTGAGGAGTGAGATGCCCCTGTAGTTGTTACAGTCTGTGCGGTCCCCCTTCTTAAAAAGGGGGACCACCAGGGCATCCTTCCAATCCTGCGGAACCCGTCCAGTGGTCCAGACTGTTGTTATGATGTCATATAGGGCAGTCTGTGCACAAACGCCACCCTCCCTCAGCATTTCGCTTGGGAGATCATCTCTGCCCGCTGCCTTTCCTGGTCTCAGACTCCGTATCGCCTTCAATACTTCCTCAGCAGATGGCACCTCAGCCAGCCACTCACAGGGGGTGACTTCATCCAATATTTGAGGCACCGCAGCCTCAGCAGGGTCATCCTCACTTTGTGCCACGATGTTTTCCTGGCTGTGGGATTTTCCCTCCCCCAGGACCTCACAGAAATGCTCAGCAAATCTGCGAACCTGTTCCTGGGGGTCGGAAATTGGATCACCGTTTTTTCCCCTAATGATGTTAATAGGTGTGGCGCTGCAGGTTACTTTTTTGATGGAGTTAAATAGCGATTTGTGATCACGGGCCACTGAGGCAGACTCCATCTCCTCAGCAACCCGCGACCACCACCCATCCTTGCAGCGCCTCACGGCTCTCCGAACCTCCGAGCGAAGGCTGCGGTAAGCCTCCTCATTCTCTGACGTGGGATTCTGTAGCCGATGACAGTGGGCCTGTCGCTTTTTCTCAACCATCCTGAACAACTCCTCTGTCATCCAGGGTGTCTGGGGAGGTCTGGACCGCGTACCCAAAGCAGACATTGCAGCTGCATGAGTCACAGTCCTAAACCTCGCCCATTTACCCTCGACATCAGGAGGAGTCGGGGACGATGCCAATCCCAGCCGCAAGCGATGATGAAATTCTCGCTTGCAACTTTCATCAGATAACTGAGACCAGGCCACTTTAGGTTGGAATGGGGTCCTGGGTGTACACCCACCACCGGAGTGGAAGAATGGCAGGCGCATCTTACAGATGACTAGTCGATGGTCAGAGGGCAGATCAGCTCCACGGTAGGTCCTGGTGTCAAGGACATGGGCTCGCATTCGCTGGTCCGTCACTATGTAGTCCAGCAGATGTTCTTGCTTGGACCCGGCATGCATCCATGATGTTGTGTGGATGCGCCGATGCCGGAACAGCGTGTTGGTAATTACAAGCCCATGGGCTGCACAAAAATCTAGCAGCCTCCTACCGTTGTTATTGAGCTGATCTGGCCCATGCCCTCCAATCACTCCAGACCAGGTGCCAGTATCATGACCAACTCGGGCATTGAAGTCACCCAACATGATGACTCTATCCCGAGGGGCCACTTTAGCCAGCACCTGTGACAGGAGGTCATAGAAGGCATCTGACTCATCGGCTTTGCCTGCATCCCTCCACGGATGTTCATCTTCGGTGGGGGCATAAGTAACCACGACCACCATTCCTCGCCTCCGGTTGATGGGAAGGCGAGCCCAAAGTAGCCTGGGGCTTACAGCTTCCCACACCTCACCGCCACGCTCCCACGCCCCCTTCATTCTTTTGTTCAAAAGAAGACCCACACCCTGTTGTTTGGCAGTCTGCTGCCCCGAGTAGAGGACTGTCCACCCCTCATGGTGGCAGGAGCCAGAGCCGGTCCACCGGACCTCCTGAATGCCGCATAGATCCATGCGGTACCGGTCCAGCTCCCGACAGAGGAGTGGCAGCCTCTCCTCTGCAGTGAGCGTTCGAACATTCCACGTGGCCACCCGTAGTGGCTTTTCGTTGTTTCTGGAGTAGCCCCGAGGGTAGGTATTCAATCTCCTGGCTCCGCCAATTGGGGTTTGGCCAGGAGACGTCATAGACGCCTGGCCCCCCGGGGCCTCCGGCACAAGCTTAGTTGTTACATATTTCACTTTAATTCGTGGTTTTGTGGTAATTAATTGAAGGTGGAGGGGTTACCAGCCCCTCGCACCCGTCCAGAGCCCCCGTTTAGCCCCTGTGGTGGACACATATGCCATGAGGGGAGGAGCCAATCAAAATTGGAACTCCCCCCACAGCACTGTCCACGACAGAGTTGCCCGTCCGGCACCGCGAGGAGGTAGGGGGTTGTTTTGCCGGACTTTCACAGACACACACAGTCACACAGACACTCACACACACACAGACACACACACAGACATACATACAGACACACACACAGACACACAGACACACACACAGACACACACACACAGACACACACACAGACACACACAGACATACACACAGACACAGACACACACACAGACACACACACAGACACACACACACAGACACATACACACAGACACACACACAGACACACACACAGACACACACACACAGACACATACACACAGACACACACACAGACACACACAGACACAGACACACACACAGACACAAAGACACACACAGACACACACAGACACACACACAGACACACACACAGACACAGACAAAGCTCCCCCGTGTAGCCTCAACAATCGAACTCGGGCTGCCAGGTCCATGGCCAAATGTGCTACCGTCAATCGCGGCTCCGGTGAACAAACGTAGAGGGGTCGGTGTCAGGGTCACGGTCAGGGTCAGGGCACAGAGGTCGGTGTCAGGGTCACGGTCAGGGTCAGGGCACAGGGGTCGGTGTCAGGGTCACGGTCAGGGTCAGGGCACAGGGGTCGGTGTCAGGGTCAGGGTCCGGGCGCAGGGGTCAGTGTCAGGGTCACGGTCAGGGCACATGGGTTAGGATCAGGGTCAAGGTCAGGCGAGAGTCAGGCGAGGGTCAGGCGAGGGTGAGTGTCCGTGTCGCGGGGTCAGGGTCAGGCTCAAGGTCAGGCGAGGGTCAGGCGAGGGTGAGTGTCCGTGTCACGGGGTGTGACCGTCACCTCCATTGAGAACCGAGGAGCGAATGTCCATCCAGTAGACTTCACGTGACTCAGCGACAGCAGCACTGAGACAGAAACCATCGTCATCATTGTCCCCATCATCGTCATCTCCATCATCATCATCATCATCGTCATCTCCATCATCATCAACGTCATCTCCATCATCTCCATCATCATCATTGTCCCCATCATCATCATCATCTCCATCATCATCATCATCATCATTATCTCCATCGTCATCTCCATCATCTCCATCATCATCATTATCATCATCTCCATCATCATCATCATCATCATCATCTCCATCATCATCTCCACCATCATCATCTCCATCATCTCCATCATCATCATCTCCATCATCATCATTGTCCCCATCATCATCATCATCATCTCCATCATCATCATTGTCCCCATCATCGTCATCATCGTCATCTCCATCATCATTATCGTCATCTCCATCATCTCCATCATCATCATCATCTCCATCATCATCATCATCTCCATCATCATCTCCATCATCATCTCCATCTCCATCATCTCCATCATCATCATCATCATCATTGTCCCCATCATCATCTCCATCATCATCATCATCATTATCATCTCCATCATCATTGTCCCCATCATCATCTCCATCTCTATCATCATCATTGTCCCCATCATCATCATCTTCATCTCCATCATCATCATCATCTCCATCATCATCTCCATCTCTATCATCATTATCTCCATCTCTATCATCATCATCATTGTCCCCATCATGATCATCTCCATCATCATCATCATCATCTCCATTATCATCATCATTGTCCCCATCATCATCATTGTCATCATCTCCATCATCATCATCATCATCTCCATCATCATCATCTCCATCATCATCATAATCTCCATCATCATCCTCATTATCCCCATCATCATCTCCACCATCATCATCATCATCTCCATCATCATCTCCATCATCATCATCATCATCTCCATCATCATCATCATCTCCATCATCATCCTCATTGTCCCCATCATCATCTCCATCATCATCATCTCCATCATCATCTCCATCATCATCCTCATTATCTCCATCATCATCTCCATCATCATCATCATCATCTCCATCATCATCTCCATCACCATCATCATCATCATCTCCATCATCATCATTACCATCGTCATTATCATCATCACATCACCATCATTATCATCATCACATCGTCATTATCATCATCACATCATCATCATCATTGTCCCCATCATCATCATCATCATTGTTCCCATCATCATCTCCATCATCATCTCCATCATCATCATTGTCCCCATCATCATCATCGTCATCATCATCGTTCCCATCATCATCGTCATCATCATCATTACCATCGTCATTATCATCATCATCACATCGTCATTATCATCATCACCACATCATCATTATCCTCATCATTATCATCATCATCGTTATCATCATCATCATTACCATCGTCATTATCATCATCACATCGTCATTATCATCATCACCACATCATCATTATCATCATCATTATCATCATCACCATCACATCATCTAAAATAAATGTTTTTTTTGGGATAGATCACGTAAGTATAAATGTTGTGTCGTAAACCCAACCACCCAACACAGCCGCTAAGGGTTGTCACATAAACAATCCGCCAATTAGTTACAGCTTCAGCTCGCCGCTGGTGTGTCGGAGAATGTAAATCCACAACATTTACAATTCCAGTAGTCCGGCTTTTCTGCTGGTAACTCGCATCAAGCATCATCGGGCGATTTGCCAGCATCGGCGAAACGTCGTACAGTAAAACCTTGGATTTGCGAGCATGATTCGTGTTTGTAACATCCAAAGCACTCGTATATCAAAGCACTCGTATATCAAAGCAGTTGTGATCACGTGACGCTCGGCAGTACAAAGCGTGTACACGTACTACTACTCGTATTGCTAAGACCCTCGCTCGTATATCAGTTGTGTGATCACGTGACGCTCGGCAGTACAAAGCGTGTACACGTTACACTACTAGTATTGCTAAGACCCTCACTCGTATATCAGTTGTGTGATCACGTGACGCTCGGCAGTACAAAGCGTGTACACGTACTACTGCTCGTATTGCTAAGACCCTCGCTCGTATATCAGTTGTCATCACGTGACGCTCGGCAGTACAAAGCGTGTACACGTACTACTACTACTCGTATTGCTAAGACCCTCGCTAGTTTATCAAATTTATATTTATTTACAATGTTCGCTCGCCTTGCAAAGCACTCGCAGGCCAAGTCACTCCCAATCCACAAGGTTTTTACTTTATTCAGATTCAGATTGTAAATGTTGTGGATTTACTCTGCCACTCACCAGCGGTGCTCTGAAGCGGTCCCTTAGGGGCCGTCCGGGAATGACGTCACGCGATTTTGGACGAATTTTTGACCCCCTCCCCCCTCTTCGTCACACTGCGTCACAAAAAGTCAGACCCCCCCCCCCCCTCAAATATGACGTCACAAAGCTCTGCCCCCCCCCCCGAAAAAATAAAAAAACATGCTTCAAATCGCTTTAAACTTATTGTCACATTGTTGATGCGTATTTAATGTGGCGCTGCTGCACTCTGATGTTGTAGGAGAAAACGTTTATTTTAAAAAGTCTATTTAATTAAGTAGAACGTGTTGCGTCTATATTTATTTATTTATAAAGTTGCGCGCTTTGATGTGACGTCACATCTCTCAAACCCCGCCCCCCTCACCCCTTGTCACAAATGTCTCACCCCCCCACCCCCCACCCCAGGTGCGTGACGTCATTAATGAACGGACCCCTTACTGGGCTGTGCCGGGTGGTGGAGGGTTACGACACAACATTCACACTTACGCGAACTTTACCCAAAAAAACTTCCGCATGGTAAACTGATCACCGTCTCCCCGTGTGGCACTTCACCACCGAGAGAACCAACACAGACACAATTTCAACCGAGAAGATGGTTTCAAATTAAGCAACCATTGTAAAGATACTCTTTGGTTCTATTGGGTAAAGTCACGTAGGTAAAAAATAAAATAACAAAAAATCACGACGTTTCGGCCACAACACAAGCGGCCTTCATCAGGTGAAGGGACGAGACTGTCTGGAGGACAGCGCTGGAGTCGTCTCGTCCCTTCACCTGATGAAGGCCGCTTGTGTTGTGGCCGAAACGTCGTGATTTTTTGTTAATTTTATTTTCACCTACGTGACTTTACCCAATAGAACCAAAGAGTATGGATCCTAGCAGTCACGAAAGCTTTAAATCTAACATTGGAAAGATGTTCTAAATCGAACTAAACATTAAACTAATTTTCAATGCTACAGTATATTTTTTCAAGTAGTGGTACCCCAAACTTTCGCAGCTCTTATAAATTCCCTTTTCACACCATCACTAGGTAAACTCCCCCTCCCCCCCCCGGGCCAACTGGCGTGTGCACCCGCACGTACACCACTTCTATGCTAAGTCGGCCAATCAAATGCTAATTTTTATGCTAATTCCTTTGTCAAGGCACCTTGTTTCCTCTCACACAGCTTAAAGGTCCGCGGTCTGAGCTTGTGGCTGTTTCACTCCAGCGCTGTCCTCGAGACAGCCTGGTCCCTTCACCTGATGAAGGCCGCTTGTGTTGTGGCCGAAACGTCGTGTGATTTTTGTTGTTTTATTTTTACCTACGTGGTGACTTTACCGAATAGAACCAAAGAGTATGGAACCAACGAGAATGGATTCCTGCGGCCGCGAAAGCTTCAAATCGAGATTGACCATCGCCATCGTCGTAGACGTCGTCCATTATCCCTCACGAGCGATGACGAGTGAACACCCCCCCCCCCTCCCCTACCCCCCCCCCCCCCCCGCTACAAGCCACGTGTGTCTCGGACACTTCCTACCCACACCCCCCACCCTCAGACCTCCACTTGTTCACACAGAGTTCACTCAATAACACCGCCCCCCCCCCCCACCCCCACTCCATGTTTGCTGGCATGACGGTCCCCCCCCCCCCCCCCCCCCCCCCCCCCCCCACCAAAGACAAAGATCCCCCGTATAGCCCGAACAGACTGTTGGGGCAAGTGCTGCTAGTAGCGAGCAGCACCTACGGAGGCCGGCACTGTGACGTCAGGTGCTCGTTTGAGGCTGAGTCGACCTAGTGGAGGCCACACGACCGGTTCGGGTAATCGTCACCGGCGTTGGCCGTGAGCGAGAATTGAACCCGGGTCGCCGAGTTCGTAGCGCAGCGCAGCGCTAACCGCTACACCCACCGCTCCCCCATAACGGGCCCCACAAACATTGCTATCTGCTTGCCCCCCTCTGACGATGACTGTTAACCCCACCAGGCCCCACCAGGCCCCCCACTCTCCCCCCCTTGCATCGAGTTGAGCGGCAGTCACCTCTGAGGTGTCGACAAAGGGGATTGGTGGCTGGGATGATTGGGGTGGCGGGGATGGGGGGCCGTGGGTGGGGGATAAGAGAGGAATGTTGGCAGGACTGACGAGGGAGAGAGCTGTGGATGAAGGAGGGAGTTGTGGATGAAGGAGATGTGGGTGAATGAGAGAGCTGTGGATGAAGGAGAGAGCTGTGGATGAAGGAGGGAGCTGTGGATGAATGAGAGAGATGTGAATGAAGGAGAGAGCTGTGAATGAAGGAGAGAGCTGTGGATGAAGGAGGGAGAGCTGTGAATGAAGGAGAGAGCTGTGGATGAAGGAGATGTGGGTGAATGAGAGAGCTGTGGATGAAGGAGGGAGCTGTGGATGAAGGAGAGAGCTGTGGATGAAGGAGAGAGCTGTGGATGAAGGAGGGAGCTGTGGATGAATGAGAGAGATGTGAATGAAGGAGAGAGCTGTGAATGAAGGAGAGAGCTGTGGATGAAGGAGATGTGGGTGAATGAGAGAGCTGTGGATGAAGGAGGGAGCTGTGGATGAAGGAGAGAGCTGTGGATGAAGGAGGGAGCTGTGGATGAAGGAGAGAGCTGTGAATGAATGAGAGAGCTGTGGATCGAGGGAACTATGAATGAAGGTGGGAGCTGTGGATGAAGGAGGGAGAGCTGTGGATGAATGAGAGAGCTGTGGATGAATGAGAGAGCTGTGGATGAAGGAGGGAGCTGTGGATGAATGAGAGAGATGTGGATGAAGGAGAGAGATGTGGATGAAGGAGAGAGCTGTGGATGGAGGGATCTGTGGGTGAAGGGGGGAGCTATAGATGAATGAGAGAGCTGTGGATGGAGGGAACTATGAATGAAGGTGGGAGCTGTGGATGAAGGAGAGAGCTGTGTATGAATGAGAGAGCTGTGTATGAATGAGAGATCTGTACATGGAGGGAACTACGAATGAAGGTGGGAGCTGTGGATGAAGGAGGAGAGAGCTGTGGATGAATGAGAGGGCTGTGGATGAAGAAGGGAGAGAGCCGTGCATGAAGGAGGGAGAGCTGTGGATTGTTGCACGACAGGCCTTACATGAACATGATGGGCCCGGTGAGGCCTCCTGCCGGTGGCATCCAGGTGAAGGTCTGGTTAATCTTCTCGTTGATGTTCGAGTGAGTCACCGCACTTGCATCTCTGCCGTCGCACTGCGAAGACAAAGGTCCCCCGTGTAGCCTCAACAGACTGCTGGGGCAAGTGCTGCTAGCGAGTAGTACCCGTGAAGGCCAGCACAAGACAAAGGTCACCCGTGTAGCCTCAACAGACTGCTGGGGCAAGTGCTGCTCGCGAGTAGTACCCGTGAAGTCCGGCACAAGACAAAGGTCCCCCGTGTAGCCTCAATAGACTGCTGGGGCAAGTGCTGCTAGCTAGTAGTACCCGTGAAGGCCAGCACAAGACAAAGGTCCCCCGTGCAGCCTCAACAGACTGCTGGGGCAAGTGCTGCTAGCGAGTAGTACCCGTGAAGGCCAGCACAAGACAAAGGTTCCCCGTGTGGCCTCAACAGACTGCTGAGGCAAGTGCTGCCCTATGTAACTCCTACCCTGGCCTCATGCGTTCTCAACATGATCAGCAGCTGGGACGTGCTATCAGAAACTCGTTTCTTTTGTAACTGCTTGTTGTGTTTCATTTGTTTTGTCCTTCCCGCGCACCTCCGATTAGCTAGGGGTGGCTACGTACGGTTGCGAAGGAATTTCAACATTCATACGTGGACTCTTTTACCAGGTGGCACCACTAAGATATAGAGCTCTTTTTTTGCTAAGCGACCTGGCCACAAATGATAGCGCAAGGAAGTGGCTTGTCGCAGTGGAAATTTCTAGCGGTAGCCCAATACTCTCAACGCATGATTCTAGATTGTCGAGGGGGACACCGGAGGACCCGGGGAAAAATTGACGTGACCACGGCAAGAGAGAGAGAGAGACGCAAACTCCAACGACCTCCTGTATACCAGGCGTGGTAGTTAACATCTCCTAGCCACCGTGATGATGATGAGAGAGATGCAGACTACACAAATACAGCAGCAGCAGGCATCGCCAGGGTCGGGATCAAACCCACGACCTCCTGCACACCGGGCGAGGTAGTCAACATCTCCTAAACCACAGCGTGTCAGGGGTCGGGATTGGACCCACGACCTCCTGCACACCGGGCGAGGTAGTCAACATCTCCGAAACCACAGCGTGTCAGGTGTCAAGATCGAACCCACGACCTCCTGCACACCGGGCGAGGTAGTCAACATCTCCTAAACCACAGCGTGTCAGGGGTCGGGATCGGACCCACGACCTCCTGCACACCGGGCGAGGTAGTCAACATCTCCGAAACCACAGCGTGTCAGGTGTCAAGATCGAACCCACGACCTCCTGCACACCGGGCGAGGTAGTCAACATCTCCTAAACCACAGCGTGGCAGGGGTCAAGATCGAACCCACGGCCTCCTGCACACCGGGCGAGGTAGTCAACATCTCCTAAACCACAGCGTGTCAGGGGTCGGGATCGAACCCACGACCTCCTGCACACCGGGCGAGGTAGTCAACATCCCACCTGCAGTAGACGCGTGTCCCTGGGGAGGCCCTGCCAGGTGCCCATGGGTCGCGTGGCTCCCCCCGGCGTGCGGGCCTGCAGCAGGAGGCCACGGTACACCGGGCCCATCACCCGCACTGGAGCAACACGGGCAGCAGTTGCAGTTACAGCAGGGGCAGCGCAGCAGCAGGTGCAGTAGCAGGTATAGCAGGTGCAGCAGCAGGTACAGCAGCAGCAGTTGCAGTTACAGCAGGGGCAGCAGCAGCAGGTACAGCAGCAGGTACAGCAGGTACAGCAGCAGCAGGTACAGCAGGGGCAGCAGGTACAGCAGGGGCAGCAGCAGCAGGTACAGCAGGTACAGCAGGTGCAGCAGGGGCAGCAGCAGCAGGGGCAGCAGCAGGTACAGCAGCAGGTACAGCAGCAGCAGCAGCAGGTACAGCAGCAGCAGCAGGTACAGCAGCAGCAGCAGCAGGTACAGCAGCAGCAGCAGGTGCAGCAGCAGCAGCAGGGGCAGCAGCAGCAGGGGCAGCAGCAGCAGCAGGGGCAGCAGCAGCAGCAGAGGCAGCAGCAGGTACAGCAGGGGCAGCATGTACAGCAGCAGCAGGTAGAGCAGCAGCAGCAGGTACAGCAGCAGCAGGTAGAGCAGCAGCAGGTACAGCAGCAGCAGGTACAGCAGCAGCAGGTACAGCAGCAGCAGGTACAGCAGCAGCAGGTACAACAGCAGGGACAACAGCAGGGACACACAAAGACAAAGATCCCCCGTATAGCCAGACTGTAGGTGCAAAGTGCTGCTAGCGAGCACCTATGAAGGCCGGCACGGCACACGAGGGGGTGGGTGGCCAGCACCACGCCCGACCGCCTTTGTCTCCCTAGTGGCAATGTTTACACACCGCACGAGGTACTCATTTCAGGCTGAGTCGACCTAGGGGAGGCCCGGGACCGGTTCAGATAATCGTCACTGGTGTTGGCCGTGAGCGGGAATCGAACCCGGGTCGCCAGGTTCATAGCGCAGCGCGCTAACCGCTACACTATCGCTCCCCACAACACGTGTACACACACCACATCACACACACACACACCACATCACACACACACGTGTACACACACCACATCACACACACGTGTACACACCACACACACACGTGTACACACCTCACACACATGTGTACACACCACACACGTGTGCACACACACACGTGTACACACCACACCACACACAAGTGTACACACCACACACACACAGTGTACACACACCACACACACGTGCACACACCACACACACGTGTACACACACCACACACACACACGTGTACACACCACACACGCACGTGTACACACACCACACACACGTGTACACACACCACACACACACGTGTACACACACCACACCACACACACACGTGTACACACACCACACCACACACACACGTGTACACACACCACACCACACACACACGAGTGTACACACCACACACACAGTGTACACACCACACTACACCACACACGTGTACACACCACACACACACAAGTGTACACACCACACCACACACGTGTACACACACCACACCACACACACGTGTACACACACACACGTGTACACACACCACCACCACAAACGTGTACACACCACACACCACACCACACACACACGTGTACACACCACCACCACACACACACGTGTACACACCACACACACACGTGTACACACCACACACACACACGTGTACACACACCACACATACACGTGTACACACACCACACACACACACGTGTACACACACCACACACACACACGTGTACACACACCACCACACAGTGTACACACCACACACACACACGTGTACATACACCACACACACGTGTACACACCACACACACACGTGTACACACCACACACACACACGTGTACACACACCACACCACACACACGTGTACACACCACACTACACCACACACACACACGTGTACACACACCACACACACCACACACACACGTGTACCCACCACACACACACACGTGTACACACACTACACCACACACACACACGTGTACACACCGCACTACACCACACACCCACACGTGTACACACACCACACCACACACACACACGTGTACCCACCACACACACACGTGTACACACACTACACCACACACACACACGTGTACACACCACACTACACCACACACACACGTGTACACACACCACACCACACACACACGTGTACACACCGCACTACACCACACACACACACGTGTACACACACCACACACACACACACGTGTACCCACCACACACACACGTGTACACACACTACACCACACACACACACGTGTACACACCACACTACACCACACACACACGTGTACACACACCACACCACACACACACACGTGTACACACCACACACACACGTGTACACACACCACCACCACACACACACGTGTACACACACCACACCACACACACACGTGTACACACCACACACACCATACACACAGTGTACACACCACACACACGTGTACACACACCACACCACACACACACACGTGTACACACACCACACCACACACACACATGTGTACACACACCACACACGTGTACACACCACACACACACGTGTACACACTACACACACGTGTACACACACCACACCACACACACACACGTGTACACACACCACACCACACACACACACGTGTACACACACCACACCACACACACACACGTGTACACACACCACACCACACACACACGTGTACACACACCACACCACACACACATGTGTACACACACCACACACGTGTACACACCACACCACACACACACGTGTACACACTACACACACGTGTACACACACCACACCACACACACACACGTGTACACACACCACACCACACACACACACGTGTACACACACCACACCACACACACGTGTACACACCACACTACACCACACACACACGTGTACACACCACACACACAGTGTAAACACCACACACACGTGTACACACACCACACACACACACGTGTACACACACCACACACACACACACGTGTACACACCACCACCACACACACACACATGTACACACACCACACACACATACGTGTACACACACCACACACACCACACACACACACGTGTACACATCACACACACACAGTGTACACACACCACACACACACGTGTACACACACCACACCACACACACGTGTACACACCACACTACACCACACACACGTGTACACACACACACACACCACACACACGTGTACACACACTACACACACACGTGTACACACCACACACACATGTGTACACACACCACACAACAACAACAACAACAACCGCCATTCGCCACTAAGTGGCGGTGACGTCACCACGACGCTTGTGCCAGGCTATGTGCACCCTGAGGCCACGTGAAGTGTCGAACGCCCGCTGGCAGGAGGTCACGGGGCAGACCCAGGTGCCACGGGTCGACTGACTGAGATGACTGGCTGATGCACCACCTGTGCCCCCTACTGTGCCAACCTGCTGTGCTTTAGCCACCCGGCGCTCCGCTCGCTGTTGTGAGCGTCGCTCCTCCGCCCTCCGTTGTTGTTGGAGGGCGACTGCCTCCAACTGCCCAGTAGCATCCTTCACGAGCCTCCTCCACAGAGGCCGATCTTGACACCGCTGGTACCAGTCATCGGAAAGTCCACTCAGCTCCACGTCCTCCTGTACCACATCACTCCATCTCTTCTCTAGCCCGTGCCGCGCCCGCTTAGCCCCCTCAATCCGGCCAAACAAAAGCTGTTTCGGCATGCGGTGGCTGGGCATGTGGGCTACATGACCCAGCCATCGCAGCCTTGCCTGCCGGAGGAGCTCACCGATGGGATCCTGCCCAGATCTTTCAAGGATTTGTGAGCTCCTCACACAATCCAGTCTGGTTAAACCCAGGATGGATCGTAGGCAGGCCAGCCTAAATGTTTCTAACCGGCGAAGATGTTCCATTAGGGGGGTCCACGTTTCGCAAGCGTAGAGAAGGGAGGGAATGACCGTGGCCGAGAAGACCTGAAGCTTAGTGCGGAGCGACAGACCAGGTAGCTTCCACACAGCGTTACGCAACCGATGAAAAGATATTGCCGCTCGACTGATTCGGAGTGAGACCTCTGCTGTTAAACTGGAGCTAGTCATAAGCACACTGCCCAGGTATGGGAAACTCTCCACTCTCTCCACAACTGCCCCATCACCGATTGGGAGTTGTGGGGGTGGAGTGTCCGATGGTACAAAATACCCAGGCAGGTGCTTAGTTTTGGTGGGGCTGATGGTAAGGCCCCACCTCTTAGTGGCACGCTCCAGTCTCAGCAGCAGCGTCTCCAGCTCCTCCTCTGACTGAGCAGCTATTACCAAGTCATCAGCATACATAACGTGGTTGAGCAATAGGGAGCCATCCCTTGACCGCACCCGGGCATCGATTAGCCTCCCATTATATCTGTACCATATGGAGATTCCCCCGGTACAGCTATTGAAGGCTTCACGAACTACGTGGTCAAAATAGATGTTAAATCATGTGGGAGCCAGAGGACATCCCTGTCGCACCCCAAGGTGTACAGGGAATGGCTCTGACTCCCGGCCACGTAGTTTTACCCGGGCCCGCTCACCATCATGAAGGTCCTTAATGATCGTGAGCAGAGGGTCAGGTACTCCAAAAGCACGAAGAACGACCCAGAGCCCAGGCCTACTGATGGTATCATAGGCCTTGACCAGGTCAATAAAGCAGAGATGTAGGTCTTGTTGGAATTCCCTACACCTCTGCTGTAGCAGACGGACAGAAAATATGGCATCTGTGCAGGACCCGCCCTTTCCTGAAACCGCATTGGGGCTCCGCAAGCCTCTCCTCAGCGTGCCTGGCAAGGCGATACTGAATAATCCTTGCCAGGACCTTTCCCGGCACACTGAGGAGTGAGATGCCCCTGTAGTTGTTACAGTCTGTGCGGTCCCCCTTCTTAAAAAGGGGGACCACCAGGGCATCCTTCCAATCCTGCGGAACCCGTCCAGTGGTCCAGACTGTTGTTATGATGTCATATAGGGCAGTCTGTGCACAAACGCCACCCTCCCTCAGCATTTCGCTTGGGAGATCATCTCTGCCCGCTGCCTTTCCTGGTCTCAGACTCCGGATCGCCTTCAATACTTCCTCAGCAGATGGCACCTCAGCCAGCCACTCACAGGGGGTGACTTCATCCAATATTTGAGGCACCGCAGCCTCAGCAGGGTCATCCTCACTTTGTGCCACGATGTTTTCCTGGCTGAGGGATTTTCCCTCCCCCAGGACCTCACAGAAATGCTCAGCAAATCTGCGAACCTGTTCCTGGGGGTCGGAAATCGGATCACCGTTTTTTCCCCTAATGATGGTAATAGGTGTGGCGCTGCAGGTTACTTTTTTGATGGAGTTAAATAGAGATTTGTGATCACGGGCCACTGAGGCAGACTCCATCTCCTCAGCAACCCGCGACCACCACCCATCCTTGCAGCGCCTCACGGCTCTCCGAACCTCCGAGCGAAGGCTGCGGTAAGCCTCCTCATTCTCTGACGTGGGATTCTGTAGCCGATGACAGTGGGCCTGTCACTTTTTCTCAACAATCGTGAACAACTCCTCTGTCATCCAGGGTGTCTGGGGAGGTCTGGACCGCGTACCCAAAGCAGCCATTGCAGCTGCATGAGTCACAGTCCTAAACCTCGCCCATTTACCCTCGACATCAGGAGGAGTCGGGGACGATGCCAATCCCAGCCGCAAGCGATGATGAAATTCTCGCTTGCAACTTTCATCAGATAACTGAGACCAGGCCACTTTAGGTTGGAATGGGGTCCTGGGTGTACACCCACCACCGGAGTGGAAGAATGGCAGGCGCATCTTACAGATGACTAGTCGATGGTCAGAGGGCAGATCAGCTCCACGGTAGGTCCTGGTGTCAAGGACATGGGCTCGCATTCGCTGGTCCGTCACTATGTAGTCCAGCAGATGTTCTTGCTTGGACCCGGCATGCATCCATGATGTTGTGTGGATGCGCCGATGCCGGAACAGCGTGTTGGTAATTACAAGCCCATGGGCTGCACAAAAATCTAGCAGCCTCCTACCGTTGTTATTGAGCTGATCTGGCCCATGCCCTCCAATCACTCCAGACCAGGTGCCAGTATCATGACCAACTCGGGCATTGAAGTCACCCAACATGATGACTCTATCCCGAGGGGCCACTTTAGCCAGCACCTGTGACAGGAGGTCATAGAAGGCATCTGACTCATCGGCTTTGCCTGCATCCCTCCACGGATGTTCATCTTCGGTGGGGGCATAAGTAACCACGACCACCATTCCTCGCCTCCGGTTGATGGGAAGGCGAGCCCAAAGTAGCCTGGGGCTTACAGCTTCCCACACCTCACTGCCACGCTCCCACGCCCCCTTCATTCTTTTGTTCAAAAGAAGACCCACACCCTGTTGTTTGGCAGTCTGCTGCCACCCCACACTACACCACACACACACACGTGTACACACACCACACCACACACACACACGTGTACACACCACACACACACGTGTACACACACCACCACACACACACGTGTACACACACCACACCACACACACACGTGTACACACCACACACACCATACACACAGTGTACACACCACACACACGTGTACACACACCACACCACACACACGTGTACACACACCACACCACACACACACATGTGTACACACACCACACACGTGTACACACCACACCACACACACACGTGTACACACTACACACACGTGTACACACACCACACCACACACACACGTGTACACACACCACACCACACACACACGTGTACACACACCACACCACACACACACGTGTACACACACCACACCACACACACGTGTACACACACCACACCACACACACACACACATGTGTACACACACCACACACGTGTACACACCACACCACACACACACGTGTACACACTACACACACGTGTACACACACCACACCACACACACACACGTGTACACACACCACACCACACACACACACGTGTACACACACCACACCACACACACACACGTGTACACATCACACGACACCACACACACACGTGTACACACCACACACAGTGTACACACCACACACACGTGTACACACACCACACACACACACGTGTACACACACCACACACACACGTGTACACACACCACCACACACACACACATGTACACACACCACACACACACACGTGTACATACACCACACACACCACACACACACACGTGTACACACACCACACACACACCACACACACACCACCCCCCCCCCACACCCCAACTCGCCCGTGAAGGGCACTCCGATGCTGCCGTTCGTGGCCACTGCAGTGATGACGTAGGGGGCCTGTGACGTCTGGCTCCGAACTCCGTCATGCATGGGTCTCATGGCCACGCACGAGGAGGAGGGAGCTCCCCCGGGGAAGGCGCGCGCCCCCGGGGCGAGGCACAGCTGGGCGAGCAGTAGGGCCCACAGCATGCCAGGGGACATCGCGCCGTGACGCCTCCAGGTACGCTCCGACGGGGAACTTGGAAACAAAGCTAAAGGCCCTGGGAACGCGGAGGGGGAGGGAGGGGAGGTGTTGTTATTAAGTTCAAACTTAACGTTTACCGCAGGCTTTAAACTACACTATGCATTGTACTATACACTGTACTGTACACTACACTATACACTACACTATACACTACACTATACACTACACTACACACTGCACACTACACTATACACTACACTATATACTACACTACTATACACTACACTATACACTACACTATACACTACTATACACTACACTATACACTACACTATGCATTGTACTATACACTGTACTGTACACTACACTATACACTACACTATACACTACACTACACACTGCACACTACACTATACACTACACTGTACACTACACTATACACTACACTATACACTACACTATACACTACACTACACACTGCACAATACACTACACTATACACTACACTATGCACTACTATACACTACACTATACTATACACTGCACTATACGCTGCACAACACACTACACTACACACTACTATACACTACACTATACACTACTATACACTACATTATACACTACACTATACACTATACTCTTTGCTTCTATTGGGTAAAGTCACGTAGGTGAAAATAAAATAACAAAAAATCACGACGTTTCGGCCACAACACAAGCGGCCTTCATCAGGTGAAGGGACGAGACTGTCTGGAGGACAGCACTGTCCACCTGATGAAGGCCGCTTGTGTTGTGGCCGAAACGTCGTGATTTTTTGTTATTTTATTTTCACCTACGTGACTTTACCCAATAGAACCAAAGAGTATGGATCCTAGCAGTCACGAAAGCTTTAAATCTAGAATACACTATACACTACTATACACTACACTATACACTACTATACACTACATTATACACTACACTATACACTACTATACACTACACTATACACTACACTATACACTACAGTATACACTGCACTACACTGCACTATACACTACACTAAACACTACTATACACTGCACTACACACTGCACTATACACTGCACTATGCACTACTATACACTACACTATACACTACACTATACACTGCACTACACTACACTATACACTGCACTATACACTACTATACACTACACTATACACTACACTATACACTGCACTACACTGCACTATACACTGCACTACACATTAAACTATACACTTCTATACACTACACTATACACTACTATACACTACACTATACACTACTATACACTACACTATGCACTACACTATACACTACACTATACACTACTATACACTACACTATACACTACTATACACTACTATACACTGTTATACACTACTATACTCTACACTATACACTACTATACACTACACTATGCACTACACTATACACTACACTATACACTACTATACACTACACTATACACTACTATACACTACACTATGCACTACACTATGCACTACACTATACACTACTATACACTACACTAGCCTCCAACAGGCTAGTAGCGAGTAGCAGCAGCACCTGTGAAGGTAGACACAGACAAAGGTCCCCCGTGTAGCCTCTAACAGGCTGTAGGGGCAAGTGCTGTTAGTAGCGATCAGCAGCAGCACCTGTGAATGCCGGGCTAGGTGGCACACGAGGGGGTTGCAAGGCCAACTCCATACCCGGCCGCCTTTGTCTCCCCAGTGACGATGCTTACTACACAATGCGCCCAGGTACTCATTTGAGGCTGAGTCGACCTAGGGGTAGGCCCAGCAACCGGCAAAAAAATTAAAAGACACGCGCAAAGACACAGCCCACAACAACAACAACAACACCAGCCGCCATTCGACACTAAGTGGCGCTGACGTCACCACGGCCATTGTGCCAGGCTAGGTGCACCTTGAGGCCACGTGACGTGTCGACGGTTCCCGCTGCTGGCGAGCAGGTCACGTGAACGACCCAGCCGGTGCCACCGGCCCCAAAACACGTCTCTGAAGGCTGTTGCGGAGGGTCCTTGCCTTTGTGTCTGTGTGTCACGCTACGACCAGCACTTGGCCCGACAGCGTGGTAATTACCGCAGCGAGTGGGAGCTTCGTCTTCGCGGCGATGGCCGTGATGGTGGTGATGGGAGACGCGGGGTGAGGCCAGGTGAGAGACAGAGAGAGATTGAGAGGGAGAGGTCACGACCCCTGTCCAGGTGCTGGGAACAAGCCGAGAACACAATGCCACCTGACCACCACCCCTCCCCCCATTCACCCTCCCCCCCATTCACACCCTCCCCCCCATTCACCCCCCCCATTCACCCCCCCCCCCATTGACCCCCCCCCCCCCCCCATTCTCATCCTTCTCCCCACCCATTCCTCACCTCCTCTGCTCACCCAATTCCCCCCTCCCCCATTCACCCCACCAAATTCCCCACTCCCCATAGTGTATAGTGCTAATCGTAGTTGCGGAGTCTATGGTGCAGTGTTGAGTCTATGGTGAAATGTTGAGTCTATGGTGCAGTGTTGAGTCTATGGCGAAATGTTGAGTCTATGGTGCAGTGTTGAGTCTATGGTGAAATGTTGAGTCTGTGGTGCAGTGTTGAGTCTATGGTGAAATGTTGAGTCTGTGGTGCAGTGTTGAGTCTATGGTGAAATGTTGAGTCTATGGTGCAGTGTTGAGTCTATGGTGAAATGTTGAGTCTATGGTGCAGTGTTGAGTCTATGGGTAGTTTCGATTTCCACACAACCTTAAGATCATTCAACAAACTCCGGGACAAGAAAGCTCAACGAATCGAGTCTCTCACCTTTCTGAAGAGATGCCGCGACTCTAAGGTAATACCAACCGCATTTACACTCACCTCTGCTGCTGCAACTTCTCTCAATGCAAAACGAATTCTAGCTAGAACTAGCTTCGCTCTTATCTCAGAAAAAATTAGACTTACACGCACCGAACTGGATCAGTTAGACAAGACACTCTGCAAATCACACTTAACATCGACAGCAACTATGTCTACATCGGATTGGGAACATGTAGACAATATGACTACCTTTTCGGCTGCCACTATGTCGACCAAATGTAGGGACAATTTGATTTCCAAATTCAATCACCTCTCCAACAAAAAATCGGATCCACACAGCGAAAAGATAGACGTCAACAAAGTCGTAATTAATCGCAGTAACAGTTCCATTTCTGATGTCCTGAAATTCGTTTTAGCTAAAGGTCTAAACTTTGCTGTCACACCGAGACACATACCGGTTAATGATATCATTGCCCATGTAGACGTTGCACTCAAGGGCTTGAGTCACATCTCTGCAGACGTAGCAAGATCTGAAATCGCTGCAACCCTCAAAAACGCTAAGTTGCCACCTAGCAACATCAGCAAAGATGAACGCTTTGAATTATCTCAATTAAAAAAGACAGATGATATTGTTGTCCTCTCAGCCGACAAGGGCAATGCCACTGTCATCATGGACAAAACAGAATATAACAACAAAATTCAAGAACTACTCAACGATGGCAGCTATACAAAAATAAAAAGAGATCCCACCAACAGCCTGGTTACCAAAACGAACGAAATCATCTCTCATTCAACAGCATTAATTGATCAGACCAAACAGTTCTCGTTGAAACCCTCTGCTGCCAGACCACCAAAATTATATGGCCTTCCGAAGATACACAAAGACGATACACCCCTTCGTCCCATCGTCTCTACTATCAACTCCCCCACCTATAAACTGGCACGTTTTCTTGCCGATATACTGCGACCTTTCACTGGAAAAACCACCTCTGCGGTACTAAATTCTACTCACCTGGTATCGACAATCAAAGGTATTTCCCTGTCCCCAGACGACCTGCTTGTCAGTTTTGATGTGGTGTCCTTATTCACCAAAGTTCCGGTACGTGACACCATCGCTATCATTGAAGACTTGGTTCATCAATGACTGCATACTGATGTACCCCCCCTGGTGAGACATTGCTTAACCAACACATACTTCACCTGGAATGGAACTTTCTACAAACAGACTGAGGGCACCCCAATGGGCTCTCCCCTGTCTCCAGTTGTAGCCAACGTATTCATGGAAAAATTTGAAACTGACGCCATCCAGACTGCCACTCTACGCCCGACCTTATGGAAGAGGTACGTGGATGACACTTTTGTCATCTGGCCACATGGCCAGCCTGCTCTAGACTAATTCCAGGACCACATCAATTCCATACACCCAGCCATCAGATTTACCATGGAGGTGGAAAAAGATGGCAAGCTACCCTTTTTGGATGTCTTAATTAAAAGGAGACCTGATGGCTCAATCAGCCACTCTGTCTACAGGAAAGCTACCCATACAGATGCTTACTTGAAACCGGATTCCCACCACTATCCATCCCAGAAGAACTCCCTCATCAAGACTCTATACCATAGAGCCCAATGCATTTCCGACCAGGAACACATTACCAGTGAACTCAAACACGTACACCAGGCTCTCAGGGCTAATGGTTACTCCGACTACACAATCCGCAAAGCCATCACTCCAGTCACGAAGAAGGATCCTCTTGTGGAGCCACTCAAAACCATCACCTTACCCTACATTGCAGAGGTCACTAAAAATATCTCCAAAATCCTGAATAAACACAAGATCCAGGTCCGATTCAACACAGTACGTAAAATCCGTGATCTGGTTCCATCTGTAAAAGATGCTGTTCCTGACATACAGTACCCAGGCGTTTACAAACTAAAGTGCCTTTGTGGTAGTAGCTACATTGGAGAAACCAAACGACATATCTCGGACCACATCCGCGAACATAAAGCAGACTTGAAACACGGTAGAACGAACTCCTCCGCCGTGGCAGATCACTGTTATAATTCAGTGGGCTCACATGACATTGACTTCTCCAAGACGGAGGTTCTTTGCAAGCCAACCGGCTACCATGAGAGATTCGTTCATGAGGCCATTCACATATACAAGCACAGAGACAATTTCAACCGGGAAGATGGATTCTGGCTTAGTAACCATTGGAAAGATGTTTTAAACCATTTCGGTTCTTAATTAATTATTTTACGGCAAATCCGGCACCCATTTGAGGCTGAGTCGACCTACAGGAGGTGGAGGGGGGGGGGTGGCCCAGGACCCTGCGTTGGTGGTGTCCAGTGACTCGAGCCCGGGGAATTTGCCGGGTTCGTAGCGCTAACCGCTGCACCACCACTCTCCCCCCCCCCCCCCGTGTCACCCCCCCCCCCATTGAGAGTCAGTGAGCTCTGTTTGGTTTGGAAGGGCACGCAGGAAACCTCGCTCGCTCGCTCTCTCGGAAGGGAGAGATAAATTTAGCCTCATGAGTGCCCCTCTGAGAACCATTGTCTCTTTGGAACTGACTGCGCGTCCTTTATTTCACTATTTGAGAGACAGAGGAGAGACAGAGAGACCCAGATAGACACGCATGAAGAGAGAGTGAGACAGAGATAGAGACAGAGAAAGAGACGGATTAGCCCTCTTGAGACTGAGGTTCGATCCCGACCCTGACGACGCCTGCTGCTGTTGCTGTATATTTGGAGTCTGCGTCTCTCTCTCATCATCATCACGGTGGCTAGGAGATGTTAACTACCGCGCCTGGTCTACAGGAGGTCGTGGGTTCGATCCCGACTCTGACGATGCCTGCTGCTGCTGTATATTTGGAGTCTGCGTCTCTCTCTCTCTCATCATCATCACGGTGGCTAGGAGATGTTGACTACCTCGCCAGGTCTACAGGAGGTCGAGGGTTCGATCTCGAACCTGACGATGCCTGCTGCTGCTGTATATTTGGAGTATGCGTCTCTCTCTCATCATCATCACGGTGGCTATGAGATGTTGACTACCTCGCCTGGTCTACAGGAGGTCGTGGGTTCCATCTTGAACCTGACGATACCTGCTGCTGTATATTTGGAGTATGCGTCTCTCTCTCTCTCATCATCATCACGGTGGCTAGGAGCTGTTAACTACCTCGCCAGATCTACAGGAGGTCGTGGGTTCCATCCCGACCCTGACGATGCCTGCTGCTGTATATTTGGAGTCTCTCTCTCTCTCATCATCATCACGGTGGCTAGAAGATGTTAACTACCTCGCCTGGTATACAGGAGGTCTTGGGTTCCATCCCGACCCTGGCGATGCCCCCTCTCTCTCTCTCTCTCTCCCCGTGGTCGCGTGGATTTTTCTCCAGATCCTCCTCCGGAGTTTTCCCCCCTCCAACATTTAGATTCAACGTAACCCTCGCGTCGAGGGTGTCTGTCTGTCGCGATGAATGTCCACACGACGATGAGCCCACTTTCGCTGAGCTATCATCAACACAGTTTAGTTCAGAGATTTCATCATCCGCTTCGACCGAGGGACATCCATCCCTCTGAGAATCGTGGTCTCTTCGGTAATGACTGACGCCCTTTATTGAACACATTTCGGAGAGAGAGACGGGTCAAGCCTCTGAGATTCATCAGCCGCTTGCCACTCAGGCGCTCTCTTAAACCAGCTGAGAGCCCACGGAATCGCCGTCCCGTGTCACCCCAGCGCGTTTATCCCCGGGGCTGAGTAAGCTGCCGAGATTCCTCGTCTCTTGCCACTCGCACCACCACCACCGCCACCGCCACCCTTTGTTAACGTTGACTGCGCGAGGGGACATCCCATTGAGATTCATTAGCCGAGTGTCCAGTGTCTGCGTGTGTGTGGCAGTGCTGGTGGTGGTGGGAGTGGGGGGGGTGGGTGGGGGGGTGGAGGGAGCGGTGGCGCAACGGTTAGCGTGGTGCGCTACGAACCTCGGCCTGAAGTGAACCGCACAACGGGCTCGGCGGCCAAGCGGGGTTCGATTCTCCGCTCACGGCCTTCGCCGGTGGCAGCGATTGTCCGCGCCCTTGTTCCTGGGCCACCGCTAGGTTGACTCAGCCTCAAACGAGTAGCGGTGTGTTGGTGCGCGCGCGGTGATGAACTTCCTCCGATGCGTTCACCTTTGCCGATGCTTTGCCACAGGCCACCGTGTGCGCGTGGGTCGTGTTTGTCGCTGTGACGTTGTGGGATATTCAACAAATCGACTTAGGAACAAATCGACTTATGAACACATCGACTCACGAACAAGTCGACTGACGAACAAGTCGACT